CTGGGCAATTCTGGCTCAGACACAGCACCCTCCTCTACACCCCTAGTATAGGCCACGATTATAATATTTATCACAATGATGAAGCTGGCTGCAGCTAATCTTCTCTGCCCGTCCTCCCCATCCCCACTCCACTCTTGTTTACAGGTGTCTGGGCGGCAACTTTCCATTGCAACCTTTGGACTCTACTAATGGATCTGACAACCTGGATGCAGGAAGTTACAGTTAATGGGAGTTTAGGTAACTTGTCAATCCTTTCCTGATGGTTATCTTAACTTAGTGCTCAGACATGTTGATAAGAGAATAAAGGAAGTGTTGACCAAACAGCAGAAATGACACAGAGGACAGATCAAAGCAATTCAGCGCATCCCCAGAGTCCTGGATTAAGACAGGTGCACCTGGGTACCACAGCTCAGCGTCAGCAGTGATCAAGATCATTCCGATCTTCTTGCTCACTTTCCAAATATATTAAGCAAAATTCTCCAATACAATTTTGCTTCCCTTATAAATTTTCCTATACAGTTAGAAAGTGACAACTAGCAGACAAAAATATCCATTCCAAGTAGCTGCTGGGTCTTGAATGGTGCATAAATAAATTAGCACTCTGTTTTAGACATTGGTTTAAGGTAAGTTGGGTCAATATGTTTCTTTCTGGGTCTCTAGTGATGATCAGTCTCTTTGGTTTCTGTTTCTTGTTGATCACTAATGTGTCAAAATCATGGTGTGAGGTCAAAATGCTCTGACTCGGGCAATCTAAAGAACTGGCGACATAAGAAGCCCTGGACACACATGCTGTGTGACTTGCTGCTAACAGGACAGACAAATTGATTTCCATTTATTTTATCTCTGTTGACACACAATAATGGTCACAGTTGCCATGTTCATATAATGGACTTGGAAGAGAGAGTAGGCAATGAACTGAACATAAAATGGTATTATCTTGTTGCTGCTCATTTGATCCATTTTTCTGAGTTCATTACCCAGGCCGAGAAGTAAAATCTCAAAGTCAGAGTAACACATTCCAGATTTAAATCTCTCGTTTGTTAGTGTAGCCGTCCTGCTAAGATAGAGCAAGTCGTGATAATCTGACAAAATATAGTCTGCGTTCCTTTGAAGATAAAGATTTTTATTTTTTTTAGAGACAGAGTCTTACTTTGTTTCCCTCGGTAGAGTGCTGTGGCATCATAGCTCACAGCAACCTCCAGCTCTTGGGCTTAGGTGATTCTCTTGCCTCAGCCTCCCGAGTAGCTGGGACTACAGGTGCCCACCACAATGCCCGGCTAATTTTTTGTTGTTGTAGCTTGGCTGGGGCCAGGTTTGAACCCACCTCCCTCCATATATGGGGCTGGCGCCCTACCCACTGCACCACAGGCACCGCCCTGAAGATCAAAATTTGAACTGCTAATCGAGCTCAAATAATTTTATTCTTAAATTTCTAAGGGGTGTGAAATGGGTCTCATCATCCATCTCTCTCTAAATTCGCATCAAAAAAATTTTTGGATGAAATTATTTGGATCAAGGACATACGGTAAATAAAACCTTTGTCATGGATTTCACTTTTTAAGACGTGTTATACACAAATGCGTCCTCCAGTTTAACTGGGAACAGAGTTACTAACGTCATCTGTCAATCTCCACATCAAGGTTCATAAGTCCTTTACATTTTTATGCCTTGAGTACCCATGAAAAATAAATCCTCTACACGCCTACCACGATAGCCTTTGACTGGGCTCTAGACTTCCTTTAAGAGGACTTATTGAAGGAACTGTCACACTGAAACTAATCTAATAGTTTTATGTTTATTATCCAGAGAGCATTTGAAACAATCTTTCTAAAACGCAGATGAAACTGGTGTCATTACTGTTGAGACACATGGCCATCATTTCTCAGTTGCCCGCAGAATAACAAGACTCACTACAGCACATCCTGAAACCCTGGGAAGGCAGCTGCACCTGGGCCCTGGACTCCTGAAGGGGACGGGGTGAGCGCTGAGTGGGGACAGGGGTGGGTTCTCCCCAGAACGCCATGCACAGAGGCAGAGTCCAAGATTCTAAATTCAGGTTTTTGTGTCCCCAGTCATTACATAAAAGGATGCTTTGTGAAGTTAGGATACAGTTCATTTTTTGCTTTATTTAGTACTTATAAATACTTAGACACCTGCAACATGTGATATGTGGGAGATTACACTTCCACTCTGATATGTAAATAACACACCATCTAAATGTCCATTACTGGGCCCTTCCCGGCCACAGCTCTCCGGAATTCTTCAGCTCATCTTGAACTGCTAATGAGTGTGAAGGTTGATCATATAAATTGAGTCATCCTTGTTGTGCTCAACTAGAACGGTGTCAGAGGACCAGGCTGGGGGTCCGGGACACTCAGGGCTCCTGATATTGCTCCCACAATGGAGTTCTCTGCAAGCCTGGCTGCAGAGCCTTCCTGTTGTAACCTGAAACCAGATTTACCTAAGAGCCACTGAGTCAACTCACGACAACTCTAGGACTATTTTCATCACCACGAGTCACTCACCAATCAGTCAGAGCGGGTCAATTCCCCAAAACTTCCTCATGCCAGTGAACTTTCTGGAAAAACCATATGTAACATGTCCCCCTTTTATAAAACCTCTCAGCTCATCTTTATTCTTCAGACATGTCGTACATACCCTGAATTGCAATTCTTGTTTTCTGAATAGAAACGTTCAATTTACACATCTGTCTCGACACTTTCGTTTTGACGTCAACACGAGCCATGTTGCACTCATGGTGCTGTCATCCCAAACTCCACGCCACACCTTATGCACCACAGCAAATAATATAGCATTTTCCTATTTTTGCTCTTGCTGTTTTCTCTAATTGGAATGTTCAACTCCCTGGCTAATTCCTTAATCTCTTATTACACAGTCTGAAAATCATCACCCTTAAGAACATCTCCTGACATTTACGTGGTCAGGCTTCCCCACAGTATTCTGAGCAAACTTCATTCTTATCATTACTTATTACATTATAGGGCCATCGCTTCTATCCCATCTAAAAAAAAAAAAAAAACTTTCCGAAGGCCGTGTCAAAATCCTAATTTGACATTGCTAACACTTAAATACGTGCTGAACTGGACAGCCTGGTTAAAAATACACATTATTTCAAATTTCACTGTACCTATAAATACAATTGCCTTGAAAATACTATTGACCAGTCACTAAAGTTGAAAGCTAAGCAACATTACTTGAATAATAAAAAAATCTACTTAGTTGTATAAAAGAATGCTCAGTCTTCGCCAAAGCCAATCCTAGGTTTTCAAGTATTTGTTTTCTCTATACAATGTAACATGTACCAAATAATTGTGACAGAGTTAGTCTAATGCAAAGCGTTGTGAAAACAAAGCTTTACATTTTGCATAAGATGTTGAAGCTAGGAGCTCTTTACCCTATCAGATTGAAATATCAGTGCTAGTTCCAAAGACAAATAATTTTTATAAATTATATAAGATCTCTACTCTTAAAATAATCTTTAAAAAGACGTACGTTAAATTGTGTTTCATTTACAATGATACTTGAAAAAAATTGTGAGAAACTCTATTTCCAGATTTTGCGTGTAATTATTCATTTAGTTGATGACTCTTATTTGTAACATTGTATTCTTTTCATTAAACATCTTATTTGAAACTTTAGAAAGCAGCCCATTTTTTAAGGCCACATAAAAAATTTATATATAGTTTTTCTCCAGGTCTAACAATTGTTTGGGCCCAACCAGGGAATTTGAGTCAGCAACAATTCTTGACCTATTATGACGAAAGAGCCAAGACATTAGTGTTCTCTGTTATCCCTGGACACGGAGTATCGTACACAGAACAAAAAACAAAGTTATCAACACTGTACATTTTCTCGAGCTGAGTATCTCAGCCTCAGTCTTCCCAGCTCCTGATACCCTGACCAGTCCAGGACCAGGGCTCCTGGATTCTGACAACACCACATTTCTTTTTTTTTTTTCTTTTTTCATTTCTTATAGCATAACTATGTACATTAATGCAATCATGGGGTACAGTGTGCTGTTTTCATATACAATTTGAAATACTCTCATCAAACTGGTTAACATAACCTTCGTGTCATCCTCTTAGTCATTGAGTTCAGATATTCATATTCTGCTTTTAGAAAGATTCACTTGTACCCTTGTAAGATAAACCGTAGAGGTGACCCCACCAATCACCCTCCCTCCCCCCATCCACCCTCCTGGCCTCCCCTCTCAGTAAAGTATCTCAAGAACGGAAGAAAAAGTATCCAATGTACACAGCCCTATTTTGAAACTAATTCATAGCTTTTATAGGAATGTCATAACCTAATTATGGTCTTAGAACAACACTGCATTTCTAACCATCATCCTTCCTCTGCCTGGGTTGATATCCTGAACTCTGTCAGCCTCCCCTTCCCTGCCCATCCACATTCTCCATCTCTCAGACAGGACGCCAGTTGTGCCAGGAAGAAGCTGATGCACAGATGACTTTGAACGGAAGTGTCCAAATGAGTTTGGAAACCACCTATCCCCTGTGTTTCTCCCAAGAACAGTGTCCTGTGGAATGGGCAGAACTGATTCCATCACGCGGGACCCTGCCACGTCCTGTACGTGGCCCTGTGTTCAGTGGGTGCTGCTTTTCTGGAGGCAGCTTGAGAGCGTTTGATCTCGTGCACAGACTCCCGTCTCAGCTGGCTGCCCTAACCCCGTGGGCTCTGGTCTTGGATCTGCTCTCGCCCTGTTTATAAGACTATGATCTGTCATGGGTTCATACTAAATAAACTGGGGAGACTGAGGGAAGTTTAGGAAGGAAACGTCAATTTTGTGAGCTATGTTGGTAACTAGAAGGGAAGAAACAAGTTGTTTGAATCATCCAGCAGGATACGGCTTGAACCCAAGAGAGTACCAGGCAGAAAGACAATGAAAGCGGAAACCATGGAGTGTGACTGGCCGTCGTCAGACTGTCCACAGTTTGCATCTTATTTCACGGTCTCTATCTTACCTTCACTTCCACATGTGCCATCAGCACGGCAAAGTTTGTTAGGTGGTTACAGGAGCACGTGGTGTGCGTCTTGTTTGTTGTCAGGAGCCGACAGCCTTGGGTTGACCAGTAACCCGTCATCGTGCGCTTGGAATAGCTCCAAAATGAACAGTTAGGGTTGAAATTTTCCTCTGACTGCTGCGGGGGGGGGGAAATCAATGAAGCCGATAATTATGTTATGATCACGTAAATTAGGTAGGAATTTTCTGCACATCTAACACAACCTCATACTCTGTTCCCACTTGTGTGGCCGTGTCTGGCTGTGTTTTCACAGTAAGTGGACCTCCCCAGTTCTAAGCAAAATTGAATATATGTTGCTGTTTGTTCCATTAGAGGTAGGTTCACTGTTTTTGTTCTGTTATTAGCATAGGAGGCTAGATCAATGTCTCAGAATGGTGTCAATTAATGTACATTGCTTAGGCAAAAAGTTAATTCTCTAAATCAAATTCTAACAGGTCTTGAGAAATCTTTGCTGAATTTACTACTGTAGTTGTTGTTCCCCAAAACCTATCTTTACATAGGTGTAACTGCTGCTAATATGAAATCATGTCTGGTTTCAGGTAACACGTTGCTGTCCTTTTTCTTAAAAAAAAAAATGCCCTTGTTCTTTCTTGAGTACCCCTCTGTCTGGGATGTCCCGTGTCCAGGTGGCCACCTGGCTTTGCTCCTCAGTGTTCCGCAGGACTCCGCTCTACTGCTACCCATAACAAACCCTGCCTCGATTTCCCTATGCACACCCTCCTCTCCCGACTCTCCTGCTGATGCTACCCTGAGCTATTTTCTCCACTTTTTCCTATATGTTTGGTTGTTTATTGTCAGAATGGCCCATTCCTGTCCTATCCTGATTATAGATTCCACGAGGAGAAGGATTTTGTCTGTTTTGCTTACATTAACTATTCAGGATTCAATAAATACTTGTAGAATAAAAAAAAATAAATTTCATTGTTTATGTTTAAGGTATAGAACACGTTGTTATAGAACAAACAGACAATACAAAGATTATGACAGTGAAGTTGACACATTCATCATCTTACTGTTACCCATTTTTTTGTGACAAGAACCCCTAGAATCTACTCATGTAGCATGAATCATATTTAGCAAAATTTCGTTTTGTATACTCCTCACGGTATACTTTAGATTTTTGGACTCACGCTAACCTTTTTCAGTCTTGGAGAAGCGTTTAGAAATTCATCTATGAATGTTTTACCACAAGAATTTACATAGACGAGACGTGTTCTCTAAATCTCACCGCTGAAAAAAAATCACCCCTATGTTTTATGGATAATGAATTACGACACATCAAAAAAATAGAGAAACATCTAAAGAAAATTAACGTACTGAATATTCATGTTATAAAGGAAGCAGATGATGGGGACACCAAGCTGAACATCCCTTTGTCTTACCTTGATATGTTTGACAGTAAACACCACGGGGTCAGCCAAGTAAACCTTATTACTGAACTCTTTGTTTATTGCTGCTGTGATCACCGGCGAATTGACGATAACAGAGTGATTGGTGGACATAGCCTCTGTCCCCAGCTTCATGCTAGCATTCTCCGTGGACAAATAAGGACCCAAGTTGTCATACAGGACAAAGGCCACTCTTATTTCTCCTAAGATAAATATAAATGTGAATTATAAATCGACAGAAGTCTGATCTAGTGTGTACACTCTACTTAGGCCTAGCTAGATGGTAAACAAACCAGTAAAATACATATTCATGCCAAAAAATTAAGCGTTCATTTCAACCCAAGTGCTAGGTCATTCATGAGAAGAGGAGAATCAAATTTTGCTGAAATCGCTACTCACCAGGATTTATTTATTTGTTTATTGTTTTCTTTTGGAGACAGAGTCTCACTCCATTGCCCTGGGTAGACTGCCATGATGTCATAGCTCACAGCAACCTTCAACTCTTGGGCTTAAGAGATCCTCTTGCCTCAGCCTCCCGAGTACAGGTCCCTATCACAAAGCCCTATCAGGTTTTTTTTGTCTTTAGCAGAGACAGGGTCTCATTCTTGCTCAGGCTGTTCTCGAATTCTCGAGCTCAGGCAATCCACCTGTCTTGGCTTCCCAAAGTGCTAGGATTATAGGTGTCAACCACTGTCCCCAGCCTTCATCAGTACTTTTATTTTGAGATAGAGTCTCACTATGATGCCCTTCATAGAGTGAGTGCCATGGTGTCACAGCTCACAGCAAACTCCAACTCTTGGGCATAAGAGATTCTCTTGCCTCAGCTTCCCAAGTAGCTGGGACTACAGGCGCCTCCCACAATACCCAGCTATTTTTTGGTTGCAGTTATCATTGTTGTTTGGCAGGCCTAGGCCGGGTTTGAACCTACCACCTTTGGTGCATGTGGCCGACACTGTAACCACTGTGCTAAGGGCACCAAGCCCCTTGATCAGTATTTTAAAAAAATGAACCTAAATCTGTATCTCACTATATACTTATAATTGAATTCAGGATAGATGATCTGCCTAAACATAAAAACCAGAACCATAAAGCTACTGGAAAAAAATATCGGCTAATATTTTTGAACTCTGAGGGAGGTTAGGATGCCTGGGATAGGGCCCCCAAGACACTAACCATAATATATCAATAGTGAACCACACTTTATGAAAATTGAAAATTTGTGTCTATCAAAATACATCATTAGGAACATGAATAAGTAAGGTACGGATTGGAAATACAAATAAATACAAAAGTTATGAATTTACAAAGCATTTCTGCACTCAACAATGAGACAACCTTAAAACGATAAAAGACATAAACACACACGTTAGGAGAGAGATAAATAAAAGGCTCTTGAAGACGTGAGAAGTAAATAATCTGCATCATTGGTAACTAGGGAGATGAAAATCCCAGCTGCACTGAGCACCGTTCCACACTCTGTCTGCCTGAAGCGAAAAGACCGGCCGCACTGATGGGGCTAAGGACGTGGAGCAATGGGAATTCCGGGTGACTGCTGGTGGGAGTGTAAAATAGCTCCACCCTCTGCGAGGATGTCTGGCAATGTCCTATAAAGTTAAACACACGTCTACCATTCCTAGCAAGTGAAAGTTTCTATTCACAAAGAAAAAGAAAAAAAACCTTGTATAAGAATGTTTATTCAATCTTAATTCATAGTAGCTCCAACCTGGAAACAACTCAATTATTATTTGTAGGAGAATAGATAAAATATTCTCTGTAATACAGTACGTATCAATATAAGGGAGATATACTACGCATCAATAAGGGAGAAACTACTGATGACAGAATGGCATTTCTGAATCTCAAAAATAGTTAGCTAAGTAAAAGATGCAGAGAGGAGAGTGTGTACTGTGGGATCCCAGGTACGTGAAGTCAGAGAAGGGGAAAATTTGTCTATAGAAACAGCAACAAGAAGAAAATTTCATTAGATAGGGTGAGGGGTGAGAGAGGGGGTAAAAGACATCAGAGAATATTTGGGGTGATTGAAAAAATTTATTTTTTTCTTTTTCTTTTCTTTCCTTCTTTCTTTTTTTCTTTCTTTTCTTTTTTTTCTTTTTTTTTTTTTTTTGAGATAGTGTCTGTCTCACTGGGTCATCCTGGGTAAAGTGCCATGGCATCATAGTTCACAGCAGATTCAAACTCCTGGGCTCAAGCCATCCTCCTGCCTCAGCCTCCTCAGTAGCTGAGACTAAAGATTCCTGCCAATAAATGGGGCTAATGTTTCTATTTTTAGTCAAGACAGGGTCTTGCTCTTGTATAGGCTGGTCTTAAACTCCTGAGCTCAAGCAATCCACCTGTCTTAGTCTCTTAGAGTGCTGGAATTACAGGTGTGGCCACCAAACCCAGCCTATTTTCTTATTTTATATAATTACAGAAATTCATAAAACTGTCAAAGACCTCAAGTTAAATATTGAAAGTGTGTGTATTTTAGTGTATGTAAATTATGTCTCAACTGCATTTAAAAAAGAAATAACAAGGATTGAAAATCTTTGTCTTAAAACTCAATTATCACGCTCTTTTAAGGTCTCTGTCTCACACTATCTTTGAATTTTAGGGTCAAGTGAGGAAAGAGTCAACTGAGGGTCAAGTGGAAATACAGACAAAATAATTCAATACTGGACATTTTTGTAAGGAGCGGGCTACCGCCTAACACTTCAACTGTGTCCCCATGTTTGGGAAATTCCCTGCTCTTAGGGACTAATCCACACAAAATACACATATGCTTTCAAAGAGGTAGCTCTGGACACCTCAGCCAGATGCACCAGTCAGATGCAGCAGCCCCAGGCTTCAGATGAGGAGCCAGGCAGGGGGTGGCAGGAGAAGCAGAGTGGTTACTGCACCCAGAGTTACTCACGACAGACGTGATAATTCATAACAATGACTCTGTGCCATGCATAGGCTGCCGTCGGCCTCCTCACCCTGGTATGCTTTGGAGCCTGATTCTCAGTCTTGCTGTGAGTCTATGAGAAATCCTTTATCCTTTCAATAATCCAGCAAAGAAATATGATGAAAGCAACCTAAAGGAAGCAGGTTTCCTTATGTAACCTGTGAGTGTTAGCACAGTTCTGAGCAAATCATAGCATTCACTATACCTCTTATCTGTTGTAACATTAACTTTAGCTCTTTCCCTTTACATTTAGGGTAAGAAGTCTGATTTTGGAAGATTAAATTTAAAAATATCCATGTGGCCAGGCATGGAGGCTCACACTGGTAATCCTAGCGCTCTGGGAAACTGAGGCGGGTAGATCCCTTGAGCTCAGGAGTTCAAGACCAGCCTGGGCAAGAGTGAGACCTAGTCTCTAACAAAAGTACAAAAAGTAGCTGTACTCTGTGGCAGGTGCCTGTAGTTCAGGAGGCTGAAGGAGGAGCATGGCTTGAGTTCAAGAGTTTGAATTTGGCTCGGCGCCTGTGGCTCAAGTGGCTAAGGCACCAGCCACATACACCTAAGGTGGCAGGTTCAAATCCAGCCTGGGCCCGCCAAACAACAGTGATGGCTGCAACCAAAAAATAGCCAGGCGTTGTGGTGGGTGCCTGTGGTCCCAGCTACTTGGGAGGCTGAGGCAGGAGCCTTGCTTGAGCCCAGGAGTTGGAGGTTGCTGTGAGCTGTGATGCCACGGCACTCTACCCAGGGGAACAGCTTGAGGCTCTGTCTCAAGAAAAAAAAAAAAGTTTGAAGTTGCTGTGAGCTATGATGTTGCCACGACACTCTACCCAGAGCAACAGAGGGAGCCTCTGTCTCAAAAAAGAAAAGCCAGAACAAACAAAAAAAATCCTATAATTTTCATGTTGGTATTAACAACATTTATTTTAATTGGCTTCTAATTGTTTGATAATTCATATTAATTTCTACTTGTGGACGGAATCATGGTACCACTACACTTAGTTGTTGCTAATTGTTACAAATTCTCCACTCCCAAATCCATGCTGAAATGTGACTTACAAAACAAAAAATTATACATTAGAAGGTAATAAATCGGCATATGACTTCATATGACTAATGTCGACCTAGCTCAGTCTTCACTAACTTTGTGTTTAGGGAGGGTGTGCCAGGCAGTGTTCAAAGTACCGCAGCCACATCAGCAACCAAGATTAGACAAGGTCCCTGCTCCCACGGAACTTACTGCCTGAGACAGAGTCAGAACATGAGCAGGTAGATGAAAAAGAATATAATTTTTTATAATAGTAAAAGTTATGGCTAATGAGAAAAGAACGATTGGGTAAAAGGGGTCGACCCTAGGAGACAGGGAAAGGTTTCCTTAGGAGGTAAATTTATTCTGAGACGTAAATGATGGGTTGACATGAACAGAAATGTCAAAGTTATATTCCACGGTATACACACACTACATTTTATTAATCTACTCATGATTCATGGGCATGAGGGCTGTTTCTACATCTTTGGGACTGTGAATTGTGCTGCTATAAACATTTGAATGCAAATGTCTTTTTTATAGAATGACATTTTTCTCCTCTGGGTAAATACTCAGCGGGGGGTCACCAGATCAAAGTAGGTTTGTGGTGTGTCCATACAACTTTCCAGAGAGGCTGGACTGGTTTGCAGTCCCACAGACAGCATGTAAGTGCTGCTTTCTCTCTGCGGCTTCCAGACCAGAATCTGTTGTTTGGCAATTTTTATAAAAAAGCCATTGGCTGGTATCTCACTGAGGCTTAGATCACCACTTCCCTGATGAATGTAAACTCTGAGCATGTTCTCCTGTGTTTATTGGCTGTTAGTCTGACTTTGCTGGAAAAGCTTCCGTGAATGTCTTGTGCCCACTTTTTCATGGGATGTTTGATATCTTCTTACTCATTTGTGTGAATTCTTCATAGATTCTGGTTTTTAGCCCTTTATTGGATAGACGGGATGCAAATATTTTCTCCCGTTCTAGTAAAAAAAATTTACAAGTGAAATCTACACACTCAGAGAAAGTTACTCTTTTTGAGGAAAAAAAGTCAGAACATCTGGACCTGGGGGTTTCTAATTGTCCTCATATGGAAGTTTCTGAGCCCTGAAAAGGAATGGAATACTTTCCAAATCTAATTGAGAATTCTGTGGAATAAATGTCGTTGTGATCGAGATGAGAAGGAAAGAGGAGGAAGTGGATCAGAAAGAGAACAGAGAAAGAGGAGGAGCGGTGAGGGCGGAGGGAGTAGATCTGACACTCCAGGTGGTGCAGCCACAAACTTGATGCACGTTCAATTCTTTCAAGCTTAAAAAATAACCTCTGGGGCGTCGCCTGTGGCGCAAGGTGTAAGGCGCAGGCCCCATGTGCCAAGTGTGGTGGGTTCAAACCCAGCCCTGGCCAAAAAAAATCCCTGCAAAAATAAGTAAATAAATAAATAACCTCTGACCTACCATTCCGGCCATTTTGCTTTAAAGTATTTGCAGAAAGCTGGACAGTGCTTCCATGGTCCGTGTTTTCCGGAAATTTTAGGTCCTCTAAATTTCCTTCTGTGCTCAGCCTTGCAACTTCCAATTCTGTTAACAGCAAAGAGATGTCAGTGGTCACTGAGAAACATGCCAAGTCTACAAGAGTTTCCCCACCACCGAAGTAGCTCTGAAATCAAAGCGTTAGAATTCTTGCTTTATTGGTCACACTTTATAGTAACTCAATCTCCAAAAAAGTATACTGTTAATATTTTAAAACGTTTTTCAGAATAATGCAAATCGAAGCTATTAAAATCATGCCATATATGAATAACAAGGCTTCAAATTTAAAATTCAACGTCAAATCCTGATGCGTTATCCTTGTCCTTAAGTTATTTTTCAAAATGCAATATTTTATGAATTAAGTAAAAAAAAAATTAATATTAATTTACCTTTAAATCTAATACATTAGAGACAGCTTTAACAAATCCTCTGAAATGAAATTGTCAGCTATACCCTAAATCACAACAGAAATAGATTTATACTCTTTATGAACCAAATAACACAATTATCAGCTATGGTTTCCTCTTCACTCAAATGACTTATTTAGTTACAGTATAGAATCTAAGGATACTTGTATTATAAATAAAATTATCTATAAGCCCTGTTTGAGGAGGATACAACCTCAAATTTTCAATGGTATAAGATATACATAAATATATAAATATACCAAAATTCCAAAAATATAAATGGACCTTACTCTAAAAGTGATCTCAGGCTAATACAGCCAATATTGGAATTTCCTAAGGAGGAGAAAGTACATGATTTTAAATCCTTTTAAGCCACCAACAGGTGAGGTCCTCTTTATTTTATTTTTTATTTATTTATTTTTTTTGAGACAGAGTCTCAAGCTGTCACCCTGGGTAGAGTGCTATGGCATCAGACCTCACAGTAACCTCAAAGCCTTGGGCTTAAGCAATTCTCTTGCCTCAGCCTCCCAAGTAGCTGGAGTACAGGCACCCACCACAACGCCCGGCTATTTTTTGATTGTATTTGTCATTGTTTTTTGGCAGGCCTGGGCTGGATTCGAACCTGCCAGGTCTGGTGTATGTAGCTGGCGCCCTAGCTGCTGAGCTACAGGCACTGAACTGAGACACCCTCTTTATTTTAGAAAAAGAACAACTAATCTCCACAGAAATGAAGCATCACTCATCTCTGGGACAGCATGCATGCTCTCTCTTCTTTCCCTCCTGCTCTGCGAAGGTCTCTGGGCCTTCTGCAGCACAAAGGTCACTTACTAATGTTCTCCGTGTTCTCTCTGACAATGTCTGTCTTCAGAAGGTTATCAGCCAGCACAAAAGCACTTTCCTCCACCGTGTCGAGCAGCATGGTGGCTGCACGCAGCTGATCACTCGTGGTAAGGTCCCTCCACGCGTTCAGAGCTTGTGGCTGGAGGAGGTTGTTAACCGTCTCGACCATGGCCTACAGAAGGATGAAAAGAATGACAGAGGTCTCTAGTGAACCCACACAGCTGTCAGAAATCCAGGGGCGCATGCTGCCCAGCATGCAAGGATCAGCACTGTGCATGAGTTCAGCATTGTCCCGGCCTCCCCTGTGACATGCTGCGGCAGGAGCATTCATTATTTTTGTTCTGTCAAACCTGAGCTGAGATTTCGCAAGGCAAGAGGAAAACCCGTTCTTATTTTGAAGGACAACCAATAGAGCCTTGCTTGCTTCTCAAGAGTCAATAGCCCAGGCTTGAATAAGACTATGCTCACATAATTAAACTATTTGGCTAGGGAACTGTTGATAAGCCACATAATCCAATGGTTTCACCCCATCACCCAGAGAAAATGACTTTTTTTTCTATACATCACCATAGAACTAGATGCTAAGCATGACAGAAATTAAAAGAATTTCTGTAGACAGGACAATCCAGGAGTTTGTCGCCTATATGTTGAAGACACACTGAACAAATCGATGGGTTTTCTTTAGCCAGCTCATAAAATGTCAGAATGGGGAAAATATCAAAGAAGACACACTCCCATAAGGAGAAAAACCTTCTTTATGCTGTTTTCAACTAGGAGGGGAAAAAACAGTTGGACCTCACTACCTATGGCTATCCGGTGTTTTATCTTTAAAAAAAAAAAAAAAAATCAGCAGTAGGTAACATCACACAGAGAGAAAAAAACACCACGGTTCACATCGCTTCCACCAAAAGAATCATCTCTGTAGTTACAATTTATGTATTTCCTGTGGCTTGCTTAATCCTCTAGGTTACCATGAGAAAACAGTTTTCCCAATAAGGTCATTCAAACATAGAGAATCGCCAAATAGAAAAATACAGTACCTGCAGGTTGAATGTGATCATCCCTGAACCCATTCATTCTGAAATATGCATCTAGTCCAGAAAGAAAGTTGAATAAAAAGCCAACAGTTTTTAGGCAGCACAGAAGTGTTTAAAGCAGGACTCGCATCCCTGGCACACTGGCAGAGAAGGGGGGAGAGACAGAGAAACTCCTTTACAGCGCAGAGGTTTCTGCTGGCTGGCGTTTTCATAGTAACCAAGGAACAACTGTTAAAAATTCAGCTTCATAATGAAACACCTTGGCTGCCAATTAACACCAGCTTCAAAACCTAATGTGCCTTTTGATAAAAGTTGTTTTTCTTGATATCTTCCCAGCTATCCCAAGTTCTTGCCAAAAGTCAGCATCAATGTACGTTTGAGTAAAATAGTCTCGGTCGCAACTTGCTTCCTGTGCATCATTTTGTAAGGAAAAACACCAACAAACCGGGAAATTCTCTCATGAATTCAAAGGATGGGAGTCTTCACAGAGTGTGTTTAGGCTGCCATTTGTTCTGGGGGTAAAGCAGGGCCCGGTAACCACAGAAAAGTATTTCCGGATCACAACAAAATGATCTGCTTTCCAGGAAACTCTCTGTAAGGGTCCTGCCAACAGGATATGCCAAAAAAGAGGGGCCAGAGAAGAGATGAAAAAAAGTTTAGATATTTTCTAAAACCCAAACAGAGAACACAGATCTCTTTAGTGCAAAAAAACGTTCTTTTAGGGAATAGAGGAGTCTCTGAATTCATTAGAAATGCTCTGAAAATCCCCCATGTGGCAGAAATCACGCCAGGTCACTGTGCCGCAGCCACCTTAGCTGCTAATGATCTTAATGACTAGTTAATAATTTTATAACCGTTATTTTAAATCTCATGTCAAGGAAACAAAAAACTATCAGGGACGACACAATATTTCGGTCTTGTCCGTCACGACTTTTTTTATTTAAAAAAAATTGAAGAAAGAAAAATTGAAAATTGAAGAAAGAAAAAGAAACAATTATGGCCAACTTGCAGGATGTGCTACAAAAGAAATTGTTCCAAGACTAACTTGTGGGAGAGCAGAAAGCCTAAATGAATCAATAATGAGTGTGGAGGTCGAGTCAGTAATCAAAACCCTTCCAACAACAACAACAGCAACAAATGCCCAGGACCAGATGGCTCCTGCAGCAAAGCCTACCAAATCCTTCTGTATTTAAGAATGAATTAACAATCAATCCTTCCTAAACGCCTCCAAAAAAATGAAAGCGGCGAGAACACCTCCAAACACATTTGGTGAAGCCAGCATGACCCTGACATCAAAGCCAGACAAAAAGACCCCAAGAAATGAAAACTGCAGGTCAAACCCCTGCTCAGTGAAGATGTAAAAATCCTGAACCCAAAACTAGCAAACCAAACGAAAAAGTACATTAAAAGGATAATACTGCACTTCACGGCCAAGCAGGGATTTATCCCTGGAATGCAAGGATAGCTCAACCCTAAAAATCAATCCCTGCAAGACACATTAACAGAATAAAGGATTACATCCCATGATCATCTTAACAGAGGCAGAAAAGGCATTTGACAAAATTCTGCGTCTTTTCCTCATTAAAACTCTCAACCAAGTAGGAAGAGAAGGAAATTTTCTCAACATAATAAATATGGCTCCAAAGCCCTGAGTTAGCATCATACTCAACCTCAAAAACCTGAAAACCTTTCCCCCTAAGAACAGAAAGAAGGCAAGGACGCCACTTCTGTTCAATATAGTACTGAGGACCCAAACAGAGCAATAGGCCAGTCATGATAATAACACAAGACGTCCGAATTGGAAATGAAGACGTAATTGTCCCTCTTTGCAGACAGTACGATCGATCGTGACACCATGTGGGAAGATGACAGACTCCATCAAAAACAAAGTTTCATGAACCTGGAGATAAGACTGTTTCACTGAAGAGTCTACGCTGACGACAAAGAAATCAAAGCACACTGATTAATTTACCTTAGTTTTGCAAGTGAAAATTTATAAGGTTTAATCATTATTCGCAGTTATAAATTTTAAATACAGTTTGAACAATTGTATTCTCCCAAATAAGACAGAGTCCATACAGAAGTTTTTATTGAAGCCTAAATAATTTCCGAGTTTATCTATAACACCACATGTAGTATTTGGTCCTAGCCAGGCACAGTGGCGTGAGCTTGCAGTCCTAGCTATGTGGGAGGCTGGGACAGGAGGATTGCTTGAGTCCAAGAGTTCAAGTCTGGCTTGAGCAACATGAGACCCTTTCCTATGGCCTCCTGTGGGAAGGCCAAAAAGCTTCACTTAGTAAGTGCAAATTGTTTCTGATAACGGCTATACAGCCACACTGAAATGAGGTCTGGAAGTAATAATTCCTTGGCCATGGAACCTTCATACTCTGATCGCTAACACAACTCCAAAGACCCTACTTCCTGAAGCCTTGAGGAAAGGTGAGTAAAGATGACATGTGTATTAAATAGTTCTTTTTTTTTTTTTTTTGAGACAGAGCCTTAAGCTGTTCCCCTGGGTAGAGTGCCATGGCATCACAGCTCACAGCAACCTCCAACTCCTGGGCTAAAGTGAGTCTCCTGCCTCAGCCTCCCAAGTAGGTGGGACCACAGGTGCCCACCACAACGCCTGGCTATTTTTTGGTTGCAGCCGTCCTTGTTTAGCAGACCCCAGCTGGATTTGAACCCATCAGCTCAGGTGTATGTGACTGGCGCACTAGCCACTTGAGCCACAAGCATTGAGCCTATTAAATAGTTCTTTTTTTTTTTTTCTATTAAATAGTTCTTAATGAGTCTTCTGGAAGCTTGAAAAAACTGACCATCTTTCTGCTAGTGAGACAGTACAATTAAATCCATCCCAGTAGCTTTAAAATCATCAATTTATTTAAGCTTGTAAAAGGTGGTGATATGTCTCTGTTGCCAGTTAAGTGAAAGTAAATCAAACAGTCACAACTCCACAATAATAAAGGTACCTGGGTTTGGTTTCTCTCACACACTCACGCATCTGTATTTTACACAGAAACTATGACATCTGGTCATTAGGTAAAGTTTCTCCTTTTAAATCGGTTATCTGTATTCCTTTCATTAGCTCGATGTAGGACTTAGCACAGTTAAATTTGAGGGCAAGTAGGGGTGGATATTACCTTTACATTATAGAGTTTACTGACAAAACTCTAAGTGACTTTTTACTATTTCTAAAAGTCAAATATAAATTAGAGTCAACAGCCATGCAAAGTCACACCAGGATCAGAGACATACGACATTCTTCTAGACAACTAGTGCATATTTTCCTGACATGACGTTATTGGAACTTTTATTAAATTCAGAACTTAGGCAAATCCATTTTGATTAGTTTTATTCATAGCATATAAATTTGGTATGTTTGTTAGGGCTGTTACATACTTTAGACTTACAATTTATGTATCTCAAAAAGGAAAATTTACTTGTTTGCTGTAACTACTGTGAAAATTTGGGGGGGGGGAAAGAGCTGTATGTCCTTCTAGTGACAACTTCTGTAATTATTCCAAAAGAATGTGCTTGGAAAATAGCCTGAGATTCCTTTAGGTGACATTTTGATTACTCCTTAATCAAGTTACATGATTTTTATTATTAAATCATTAATAATGGTATACACAATAGAAAACCTGAAAGCATCCGCTTTTATTTCTTTAACTCTTTTGTTATGTCTACCAAAAATTCTTCTCAGAGAATAACATACTCAGATAGCACATGGTTTGGAAGGAAGGCGGGCTGGAGAGAATCTAGAGGACAGAGTTCAGAATATACAAAAGAATCACCGGTGAGGAAGACATCAGTGACACATCTTACCCAGGTGAATGTCAATCTCAAACTCGGAGGTTAGCAGAACCACCTGGGGAACTTAGTTACCCTCACTTCTTCCATTGAAAAATCGCAAAAATAAATAACTCAATAAAAGGAATGACTTGTGAAAAGACGTATGCTTTTTCCACAGTTGCGTTGTTTTGAAAACAATCCTTCTAAACATGCACGAGTTCATTCAGGTTTTAGCTCAAATTCCGTCTGCTCTGAGAGGTCCTCCCTTAAGTCTCCCATTTAAATCTATTACCTGTTGGTTTCTTTCTATCATCCACATACATCATTATCTAAAAGTACTGCCTATTTTATTTACCTACGTGACTATAAGATATCCCTCACTGCAGAAACGGTAAGCCTCCTGAGGGAACCCCTCTCATTCACAGGGGTGAGAAGCAGTGTCCATTAACTCTTGGCTGAGTCATCTGCCATCCACACAAGACTCATACTCAAGTCATTTTTCACCATATTCATACTAGCAGAAAAAAATTCCGGAGGTATTGATTTAATGAGTGTAAGAGCAAAAAGAAACTATGAGTGATAAAATCTATTAACTAACCAATGTTTTCAAAAGCACTCTCACTTCAGAGATTCAATAGTATAACGGGTTCTTTTTCCATTTAGGTTGTTAAAACAAATACCTTCCAGTGAATAATTTATAGGCACCAGAAGTTTATTGCTCAGTTTTGCAGGCTGGGAGGTCCAAGATCTAGGCACCAGGAGGTGCCGTGTTTGCTGAGGTCTCATTCTCCGCGTCCTCATACAATGCGAGGGAGAAACAAACTCTCTCGAGCTCCTTTATAAGGGCACTAATCCCATTCATGAGGGCTCCACCCTCTGACCTCCTCGCCTCCCAGATGCCTCACCTCCAAATACCACTACACCGGGAATTGTTTCAGTGTAAAAATAATGGCAGACACCAACATCCAGACCATAGCAGGCTCCCACTTACATGCTTAATTCATCTTTAATAGAATTATCTATATTTTCATCTGGATTTCTTACAAGATTATGATGTCCTCAGGGAAGAGATCAAGTTCATTTGTGTTTTCCCAGAGTAAGTCTTATTGCCTTGATACATTTTGATTACTTCTTAATACTTATTATACAAAGTTATCTTATTTTTATTATTAAATCATTAGTAATCGTATGCACAATAGAAGAATTGAAAGAATCTTCTTTTATTTCTTTAACTTTCTTGTACGTCTCCCAAAGAATCTTCTGAAAGAATAACATACTCAGATAGCACATGGATTGGAAGGAAGGTGGGCGGGCTGGAGGAAATTACGAGGACAGAGTTCAGAAGAAGAAAAATGAACCTTGGCCCAGCGTGGCGATGCCCATTTGTAATCCCAGCTCTCTGGGAGGCTGAAGCAGGTGGATCACTTGAGCTCAGGAGATCAAGACCAGTCTGATTAGCAGCAAGATCCTGTCCCTCCTAATAACAGAGAAAACTAGTCATTGTGGTACATTCCTAGAGTCCCAGCACTCAGGAGGCTGAGGCAAGAGGATCGCTTGAGCCCAAGAGTTTGAGGTTACCGTGAGCTATGATGCCAGGGTGCTCTACCACCCAGGGCATCAGAATAAGAATCTGTCTCAAAAAAAAAAAAAATTAAAGAAAAGAAAGAAAGAAATAAAAAGAAAAGAAAAGAAAGAAAGAAAGAAAAAAGAAAAGAAAAAAAAAGAGTCCCAGTAAAGAATACAGATTACTATGAATAACAATGTATATTATGAAAAGGATTCCCATAATGGCCTAAAGTGAACTAATGCAAACGCTCAGTGATTTTATTAGAGGTTTTAATAAATATGTACGATGGGCAAAGAACTGTTGGATGAGTTTAGGAAGGGGAGGAAAGCATGAAATCTTCCCGCAATCTGCCTATGCCCCAAAGCAGGTCAGCACAAGATAGCTCTAACAACCCACAACACATGGAGTGGAAGGTAAGAGATTTTAGAGGGAAGGGGTCAAAAATTAAATAAATAAATAAACTTGCATTGACTTTGAAAGGAATATTCAAAGCTAAAATACATAGTAAACAAGTTGTAATAAAAAAGCAAGTTATTATTATGCAGCCCATTTGAAAGTAAAGATGGATAAAACTTCACATTAGTAGATACATTTAAAATAATAAATTGATGGCATCCTTTGAAAACTGCCCAGTAATTATCAATTATATTTTACGCGACTTCCACATTTTTGTTTTTGATATTGTCCTTAATGCAACATGCTTTACCAATATACCATAATAATATTGTCCTTAATGCAACATGCTTTACCAATATACCATAATCAGGCCGGGCACAGTGGTCACGCCTGTGATCCTAGCACTCTAGGAGGCCAGGAGGGTGGATTGCTTGAGCTCAGGAGTTGGAGACCCTGTCTCTACTAAAAATAGAAAAATTAGCCAGGCGCTGCCGTGCATACCTATAGTCCCTGCTACTTAGGAGGCCAAGGCAGGTGGCTCACTTGAGTCTGGGATTCTGAGGTTGCTGTGAGCTATGATGGGGCCCCTGTACTGTGTAGCCTGAGCAACAGAGTGAGAGTCTTGAATTTAATTTTTTTTTAATTAAATCATAGCTGTGTACATTAATGCAATCATGGGGTACAGTGTGGTGCTTTCATATACAATTTGAAATATTTTCATCAAACTGGTTAACTTAGCCTTCAAGTCATTTGCTTAGTTATTGTGTTAAGACACTTATATTCTACTTTTAGAAAGATTCACTTGTACCCTTGTGAGATAAACCCTAGAGGTGATCCTTTCAATCACCCTCCCTCCACCTATCCACCCTCCTCCCCTCCCCTTCCCCTCCCCATATTCTTAGGCTATAATTAGGTTATAGCTTTCCTATGAAAGCTATAAATTAGTTTCATAATAGGGCTGTGTACATTCAATACTTTTTCTTCCATTCTTGAGATTCTTTGCTAAGAAGAACATTTTCCAGCTCCATCCATGTAAACATGAAGGAGGTAAAGTCTCCATCTTTCTTTATGGCTGCATAGTATTCCATAGTATTGAATGCGCCCGATCTCATCTGATCTTGGAAGCTAAGCAGGGTCAGGCCTGGTTAATACTTGGATGGGAGAGTCTTGAATTTAAAAGAATATATATATATAAAATATATATGCATGTGTGTATACACACACACACACCGTAATCATTATGTTGAGCAATACTGTATTCTACTAATACTCTTACTGTATTATATATAGTTTTGTTTAAATATTTTTCTTCCTGTGTAAATCTCAGGGTATTTTGAGAAAGAGAAATAAGCCTTCAGGTTCCTCTGCTCCCATCTGTTATTTTATGACTAGATGTTTCACACATACTGTTTCTATAGGAAAACAGTACAAGCATTGATCACGAAGGTGGTTTTCCCAGGGTGAGGCTTCTCCATGTGCTGACCCCTGACATTCCCCAAATGCGGAGAACTCAACTGTATAATGTGTAGTGCGTGGGGGAATGCATTCGTGCTTTCCCCTGGTAAAAGAATAACAACATTAATAATAATAATTATTATTTTAAAATAATAATATTAATGAATAATAGTTATTATTATTTAAAAATAATAATTTGAAAAAAGTAAAAGCACAAATTCTCTTTTTTTTTTTGAGACAGAGTGTCACACTGTCACCCCAGGTAGAGGGCAGGGGCATCCTCATAGCTCAGTACAACCTAAGACTCCTTGGCTCACGCCATCCTTCTGCCTCAGCCTCCTGAGTCACCAGAGAGACAGGGTCTCACTGCGGCTCAGGCTGCTCTTAAACTCTTGACCTCAAAAGATCCTTCAGCCTTGGCCTCTCAGAGTGGGAGGATTACAGGCGTGAGCCACCAGGCCTGGCCTTAATTCCTTATCTTTCACTTCTTGATATAAAGTTTGTCTGTTAAGAATAAAGTAGAATAGAAATCAAGTTTAAAATCATTACTGAGCTGGGCACATTGCACTCCAATGTGTGTTCGGATATTGATTCAAATCAAAATTTTAAAGGTCAAATGTTAGAAGAGTCTTCAAAGCAGTTTATACCTTGCAGGGTTTTTTATTACAAGTTGAGTGACTGGTATTTACACATCTGATCAATAAACCTAAGGTACTTTTATAACCCCTGTCATTTAATATTATTAAGCATATAAAAACTACTAATCTCCGAGCTACCTTTTATATAACAGTGACATGCTGGCATTTTCAAGTCTCAATCAGATTGCATAACACGCTGACCTTAATGTGGTGATGAGGATCTTTAAGAGTTGAACCAGATGAAATTAAAATAGCACAGAAAACACTGTCTCTTTAAGAGACTCTTTGTTTAAAAAAACTATTGTTTGGGGGCAGTGCCTGTGGCTCAGTGGTTAGGGTGCCAGCCCCATATACCGAGGGTGGAGCCCAGGCCAAACTGCAACAAAAAAACAGCCAGAGGTGGTGCCTGTGGCTCAAAGGAGTAGGGCACCAGCCCTATATGCCGGAGGTGGCAAGTTCAAACCCAGCCCCAGCCAAAAAGTGCAAAAAACAAACAAACAAACAAACAAATAGCCGGGCATTGTGGTGGCGTCTGTCCCAGCTACTTAGGAAGCTGAGGCAAGAGAATTGCCTAAGCCCAGGAATTGGAGGTTGCTGTGAGCTGTGACACCACAGCACTCTACTGAGAGAGATAAAGTGAGACTCTGTCTCTACAAATAAATAAATAAATAAACCCTTACTTTAAAAAAACAACTTTATTTGATTCTATAAACAAACTATATTTGATTATATCACTTTTTTATTCTAGTTTAGCTTAGGATAAAATGACCAAATGCTGTCAAATAAATCTATGTTGTGTTACAAGAATTAAATGGAGCTAGAGACCCAATCTCATGGCTAACTCGACATTCAGTCAACAAATGTTAACCGAGCACCTTCGGCGTGGACGTCAGTGGAGACGCAGCAAGAAAGACAGATGATCTCCCTCCCCTCAAGGTGCTAACAGCAGAGTGAGGACACACAATTAAACTAGCAATTAAATCCAACAGGACAAGCATTGTAATGATGGAAACAGGAGGCTTAAACTCTGCATTAAAAGGCCCCGTGAAGTAGGAGAATCTCAAGTTGAAATTCAACAGCGATTAGAAACTGGGGCACAGTGAAAGAGAATAGGCCCTTCAGAAGAAGCAAAAAAACCTTCCATTCAGAGAGCAAAGAGCGCCAGGCGGTGGCCTGGGAAGTGAAGGCCAGACTCCAAAGAAGCTTCTGTCCCATATTAAGGTATTTGCAATTCTTCCTAAAGACAATGGTCACTAAAAGAATTGCAGTGGGGTGTCACCATACATTATAATGGTTACTTTTGAGTTTTTAAAAATGTTTAATAATTCAGTTCTTTGTTTTTTTTTTTTTTTTTTTGAAATGGGTCTTACTATGTTGCTCAGGCTGGTCTCAAACTCCTGGGCTGAAGCAATCTCCTGCCTCAGCCTCCCGAGTAGCTGGGATTACAGGTGCACACCACCATACCCAGCAATAATCGTTAATATTAGTTGGGGGTATTCCAGACCCAGATGTGTTTGCCTAATAATGCATCAACTTCTTTAATTTTCATGATAACCTTGCAAAGAAGAAATTACCATTATCTTCATCTTACGGTGAGAAAAGGAGCCTCGGAGAAGTGACTTGCTAAAGATTAATGAACTAGTACAGGGTAGACCAGAGCTCAAAGCTCTGCATCTTCCTTCTGAAGGTAAAGAAAAAAATATCCCAGAGAGATTTAAAATGATTTCTTAATTAATCAAAGTCGGTTGGTACAGAAAGCAAAGCAGTACGATACTTGGAACTCGTGGTAGGTGATGAACTAGCACTCACTTAACATGGGGAAACAGGAAGAGTAGCAAACTTTTGCTTTCTAAAAGGCAGTGGGTGTAAGGACCGTGATGAATTCAGGTTTGCCTGTTTTGAACACAAAGTACAGACTCATGCACTCCATAATTTAGTAAATTGTGAACCACATGTGGCCCCGTAAGACTAAAATGGAGCTGCCCTACACACGTGTCCCATTTTATTCTTTTATCCTGCGTTTTTACTGTGCCTTTTCTATGCAAATATTTGCCATCATGTCATAGCTGCCTCCGCTATTCAGGGCAGCAATACACTGCACAGGGCTGTAGCTCAGGAGTTGTAGCTATACCACATAGAATGGATGGGTACACACGTCCTGCGATGTCCAAACAATGCATTTCTCAGAATGTATCCTAATCTTTAATCTACTCCTGATTATAACCTGAACAGCACTGGGTCTGGACAGGCCTGAAGCTCACACAAGATACCTGTTCTGGACGTGTAATGCAGGTGTCATAAATTCAGTAAGCTTCCTGAAGCCACTGGTACACCTGACATTACTCAGAGACCCTGAAATGAGGGAGAAGAACCAATGTACCAGAACACTAACAACGCAGAAAAAAATGAAGGAAGGAGAGTCAACAACGAGGACAGAAGAGTAAGTAGCGAGAAGAGCGTGTATTCCAGACATCAAGGAGAGGGGTTTTCATCAGATCAAAGCTACTCAATCATGTACTAATAATAACTCCAGTTCCTCCCCGACCAGGCCATGGGAACAGGCAGAGGAGACACGAGAATGGTTGTAAAATAAAAAGAAAATCATAGAGATGTTGTTTTTGAAAGACAATCAGTACAAGTTTATGCATCATTACATCAAAGCAAAGCATTTATTCATTTAAGTTTTGAACACTTCGTAGGTGCCAGCTCCGTCCTAGACACTTGGGAGGCACCTGAACAAAGCTGAGAAAAAATGATACTGACCAGGGAAGCAGAAAAGGGCACAGAGCTGGGAGGTGCAAAGGGCCAGGTAAACAATGGACCATAGGCAGGTTAGGGGGGTGGAGAAGCTTAGGATTCCAACAGGAGGGTACAGGCGGGCATCACTGATCTGCAGCAACTCAGAAGAGATGAAGGGGTGGGGAGTTGGCCGTGGAGGAGGCAGATAAAAACCAAAGAAACCTGCATAGACACAGACCTTAGTTCATCACAATATATCAAGGTAGGTTCCTTAGTTTTAACAGAGGAACCACGCTACTGTGAGAGGTTAATAACAGATTAACGTTCGTGTGGATGTACATGGGAACTGTCGGTACCACTCCATCAATTTTTCTGCAAATCCAAAAGAGTTCCAAAAAATAATGTCTTATTAGTTTAACACAGACGTGCTTGTAAGCAGTTAAACACAATGGCCCCATACACCGGAGGTGGTAGGTTCAAACCCAGCCCCGGCCAAAAACTGCAAAAAAAAAAAAAAGATAGTTTCAAATACTTTAAAAATTTTTTCTACACAAAATGATTAATCTCAAACAATGAAAAAAAAAACTATAATCTACATTTAGAGCTCAAATGCAATCGTCGTGTTGTCGTAAGTCTGCGGTAGGTTACGCCGTCAAATCGGGGTGAAGATTTCATTGTGCACCATTAAATGAGACAAAGCCGAAGCCCTTCAGATGCGTTTGAGAACGGCAGTTTTCCAAGACGCATCTTGTGTTAGACACAGAATCACTGGCCGCCCTGCCCACCCACAAAGCCACACCTCGGAATGTAGCACTTGGCTCTGCAAATAGGCTCGCCGGTGAGATACTATCAGAAGCAGTTGGGGAGTCTCCATAAAGTATTAAAAGGGGAAAATCCTCAGTTTGTGACTAGTCTATATCCGTCTTCCTGTCTAGAGATTAGCAGGACGTGGTGACTGAAGCCCAGGTAGCCACCGGGTCATCCCCAGGATGGAAACCCACGGGCTATAGGTCACGGAGCTGAAAAACAGACACGGCCTCGGTGTCTGAAGACTTGATGGGGTTTTAAGCTGGTCCTTGACCCCCTCATCTATTATCTTTTTATGTGCAAGAATAAAGCCCTGGTTCGTTTAAGCTACCACAGTTAAGTTTCTGTTCGTACCCACTACACAAAATCCACACATTAGATAAGCAAAAAATATAAAAATTGTAACTCTGTCGGGAACAGTCTTAAGAAATCATTTGTTTGGTTCCGAGCCATCAGGCAACTACTTTACTGCAAATTAGACTTTAAAAATTCCATCTCTTTTCTGACCTGTACCCAAAAAGCTAATGATAGTTTCACAAAGTACGATCTTAAATCTGTAACGCTGTTTCTAATATCTTTTTCCCTCTGGTTAGCTATGTAATCATAAAGCTATTAAAGAAATGGCAAAATCAACTAACGTGTCTCCTCTTGGATTTGCATAGAAATAATATCTATTTGTATTTTAGGTATTAAGGCTTTTCTGACGCAAACATATATTCACAAAGCAATGACATTAAAGAATGGACATTCAGGAAAAGTTTTACAATTAAGCAACGACCCAGGTTTCGATCAGGAAATTAAATGAGAGGATACGAGAGGATGAGAAGAAGAGAGAAAACATTTTTGTTTTAGATGCAAATGTTTTATTTAAAAACAGAAGGGCACGTTTTCCCCCTAACCCTTATTAGAATTATTTCCCCAA